ACAGATACCTCCCCAAAATGGGGGAACACCGCTGAGTAAGATATACAATATCACTCCAGCACTCCAAATATCAGCTTCAGGTCCATAATTCCGACGGAGAACTTCAGGGGCCACATAATATGCACTGCCAACAAGGTCTTTGAAGATTTCTCCTGCACCCAGAAATTAGTTCAAAAACAGTTAAATCACACAAAGTGAGGTCTGAGGTGAGTGTACAGAATTGTCACAATACACAAAACTTACCACTACCTACACGGCTACACTAGGTAGAGAGACCCCACTCAAGCACAAAAAGTACCAGCTAGTAGAGTTCAACAAGTAAAATCAAACTAACAAGAAAGAGGGGATAGAAAACAGACTAAACAAACAAAAGGGTCACGAAAACAAACACTACACTAAACCGAACTAAACCTGAAGGCCTTGAACACACAGAGAGCAACTCTAATCTATGTGTATCATATCACTTTAATCTATGATCATGTCCAAGGCGATCTGCCTGCAAATAAGGTCATAACTAGTTAAAAAAACTGACTTGTCCTAAACAACGTTATGCAGGGATTATGCTTCTGTTAACTACATGTATGGGCTTAACAGCTTAGAACTGAAATTTTCCAAGAGAGGAACTGAAGAACATAAAAGAGAACAAAGGGATTTTTTTATTCTTTTCAAATACATACATTATACTTTATTCACTCAGCTTTTGTTTGAGTCTATACCTTGCGGGTTATCATGCCATATATTCAGATGTCCTATAAACACAATAAATAGCAGATACGATAACTATGGGCACCCAAATCATTTGAAAAATTTAGAAAATTTGTTACACTTCCCCGATCCCTTCGCGTTTGAGTACCCATTTCCGCCCACATTTCCGTGCAATGTATCACACAAATACTTGTATGAAGGAAGATGGAACTAAGATATCAGATGAATACGAAGATAATACTCTTGAATTGGGCATATGTGAATTTGATACTAGGGTTTGATATTAATAACAAATCTTTAATGAGATCTGATTACTGATCCGAGCAGTCATGGTAAAATACAATACCAGGTCTGAAGAAGACTGACAAGCCAAAATCGGTAGCCTTCAATGGCGCGTTCTCATCTGAGCTCAAGAATAAGAAATTCTCAGGCTTCAAATCCCTGTGCATAACCCCCATAGAGTGACAGTAGTGCAGCACCGTAACCATCTGGCGGCAGAGTCCTGCGGCAGCGCGTTCCGAGTAGTGGCCCTTGGCGATGATCCGATCGAAGAGCTCGCCACCGGCGCAAAGCTCCATGACTAGATGGACGTGGTTGCGATCCTCGAAAGTTCCCTTAAGCTCGACGATGTTTCGGTGGCCGGTGAGGTGGTGCATGATCTGGACCTCGCGGCGGACATCGTCGACGTCGTCGTTGGAGAGGAGCTTGCGGGTGGCGATTGACTTGCAAGCGAACTTCTCCTGCGTTCTGCGGTGGGTCACCAGGTAGGTGACTCCGAATTGGCCCCGACCTAGCTCGCCACCAAAAATGTAAATTGAGCGAACGTCCTCCATTGGCCGGCCGAGCACGCGACCGATGCCGGAGAGGAAAGGGCGCGGTGGAGGAGACTGGGAGGGCGGGAGAACGACGATTCCATTTTTTGGAGGCGGCGGCGGCTCCGTGTTTGTGCGACTGCCGGCGGAAGTGGTGGCATAAGGTACACTGTTGCAACTCCCCATTTGAACGTTTGACTTCCGCGTGAAGACCCAAGTCAAAGTGTCAAACAATACAATGCTATACACCGTAGCATTTTAAGGGATGAGGCCCCAGCTCTCTCAAAACAAACACGACACTCTATAGTTACCTTTAGCTTAATTACTAACAATTGATATGAAATTTGCACTAAATAATACGAGTACTAAAGTATATATAATTTTTTAATGTAGCATTTAAATTTTTTTATTTTTTAAATAGTATTTGAATAATATCTAGTGACGGAGCAATGTTTAGTGATGATAGATATTTAGTTTAAACAATATCTAGTGACTGTATACATTTACTTGAAGAGTGAAAAATGAACAATGACTAGTAGTACTATATTGGGAAAGTCACTATGTTTTAGTTTTATTTAGGCAAATTCCACAAAATTGAATTTAGATTTATCACTTTTGTCACTCATTGTTCAACCAACTAAGTAACCTCATCAAAATTTCTATGAGAATTTTAATTTTAAACATGGTGGACTAATGTTATTGAGTGTCTAATGACAAGATAATCCTTTGATTGAAATAATTACACATATCGAAATGATTTTAAAATTTTACAAAACAAAATGTAAAAACAATAACAAAACAGACTTCTTTCGTCGCATTTTTTTTAATTCCTTAATTTCTTTTTTCATCTCTCTAAAAAAACTTTATTTCTTTCTAAAAGCTACCTCATCCCATAAGTCCTTAAAAGTCATTAACCTTGTGTTTGTTGATTACTTGATTGTTGTTTGTAAAGCAGATGAAGAGTTAATGGGGCAATTATCACTGCTTTGGATCACTCAAATGACACAACGTGGCTACATACATGTAAACTATGAGAAGCCACATTTGATAACTAGAGGTATTTCAGTGCATAAGGAGAAAAACATGATGACTATTACTCGTATGAGCAAAGGGGAACTCCCAAGTCCCATTCAAGTGTTTGTGTTGGAGTAGGCTGACTAGATTAGTTAGTTTGTTACATAGTTGGTTATTTATTACGTTTGTTAATTTTCAGTTTGGCCATATAGTCACTTTGTATCCTTTTATATACTCCTTTGTACGTATCTTTCCACAATCATTAGAATGGAAGACATTTTCTCCTAATCTTCGTCTTCTTCTTTCTTCACTTCTTCATTGTTATGAAGGTTTTATCTCTGATTTCTATAGAAATCAACATGGTATCTGAGCAGTAATCACAGATCCTATCTTCGTTTTTCCTCTCTCGTTTTGTCTCGATTTCTATGGCAGCCAATTCAGAAGATAATTCTGGTAGAATCAATCCATCAGATCCTCTTTACCTTCATCCTTTCGATCATCCTGGTTTGGTGCTGATTTCAAAGAAATTCAAAGGCGAAGGCTTCAGATCATGGCAAAAGGCGATGAAACTTGCTCTCTCATCCAAGAATAAATTAGGTTTCGTTGAAGGAAAGGTTATCAAACCAGATGCATCGTCTTCCTCCTTCAGCGTGTGGCAACGATGTAACAATATGATAACGTCTTAAGCAAAGAGATCGGCGAAAGCTTGTTCTATGCAGAGACCTTCATTGAGCTCTGGTAAGAGCTTGACGATAGATTTGGTCAATCAAATGGTGTGCCCTGTATCAATTGTAAAAGGATGTTTGTTCCATTACTCAAAGTAATTCTGGTATAGCTACATATTATACGAAGCTGAAAAGGGTTTGGGATGAGTTAGTTAGGGTGAATAATCTACCAAAATGCACATGTGGAGCGGTTCAAGAACTTTTGAAGTATGAACATGAATAAAAACTGATACAATTCATGATGGGACTCAACTCTGATGATAACTCACAAGGGGGAATATACTGATCATGAGGCCCCTTCCTTCAGTTGCACAAGCTTATGGAATGCTGATCTATGAAGAAAAACAGAAGGAAATTCAGAACACATCTCATTTTCTTCCTAAAAATGCTTTTCTAATTGCAAACTCCCAAACATCTCATAAAGGAAAATATGAGGATAAGAATATTGTTGTTTGTGAAAACTACAAAAAGAAAGGGCATAAAGCAGCCAAGTGTTACAGAATGGCTTTCCAAAAGATTTCAAGTTCACAAAAGGGAAGAGACTAGCTACCAATGTCATTAATGGGGAAAATTCCAAGTCATATCACAGCAATGAATGTCATTCTGAGGCTCTCTTCACTCCAGAACTTTGCAGAAAGTTCATGAAGCTTTTCAGTACCATACATGGAGACAAAGGGGATATGGGTGGATCCAGCTCTTCTTCTCAAGCTTTTCTCTGCACATATGGATGGTATTTTTCAAATTTTTTGACTAAGTATATGTGTAATAGTGTGTGTAAAATTAATGACTATGATTGGATTTTAGACACTGGAGCTACTGACCATATGTGTGGAAATTCACACCCTCTCATTAATCTCAAAACCTTATCAGTTCTTCATCATATCACTTTTTCTAACAACCAGTAAATCAAGGTCAATCAAACTGGTTCCACTGTTTTACAATGTGACATAATGTAAGGGATATTTATACGTTTGACCAAAAATAAATAGATTTTTAAAATAATGACTTTTTGTTAAAAACTTATTTTTTTATGGATATGTCTCGAAGAGATGAATCCAACGGTACATTTTATGAATCAATCTGATTTATAGATTTCAAACTATTACGATTTTAAATATTAAAACTTGTAACTTTGACCCATAAATTAAACTCAATTCAAAAGTAATTTCATATGATTAGAAATCTTATTTTTTTTACACTTGACAACATCATATTAATCATTTGGATTTAATTCATATATTTTTATCTCATTCATATTATTAAATTAATTTATGACTGAGACAGACCCAGACCTTAAAAAAATAAAAGTTTTCATAAAAAATATTTTGATTACATCAAAATTCTAGTTTTGATAATCTGATTCCAAAAATACAATTTGTTTTCAATTCGGAGCAGTTTGGACTAAAAACCAAACTTAATAATCTCAAAATCCCACATATCAGGGATGATCCCCTCTTTAGTCCACCAAAGATAGTCTAGCTTCATTATTTATCCCACTAACATCAATACTCCAATATTTGATTATATAATACTCCAAAATCTCTCAAAATCATCACCATCATCTTCCACGTACCAACACATCAACTCCATCTTTCTCTCTTCTTCTCTTCTCCTACATCCTTTCAAGCAAGTTCCAGCAAGGAGGAGACACTCATCATCCCATAGTTTTGTGCCAAGGAAGAAGAAGGAACAAGAAGAAAACTATCCAAGGTTTTTCAAAATCCTGAGTTCAAAAACGCAGCAGCAACTTCAAGGTAAAAACTGAAATTTTTAAACCATTTTCTCGAAATACTTCCTACACCAAAGTTATAGCCCCGGACGATACGAATCCAGCCCAACAAACGGTTCGCAATTTCATTAAGTAACGAAGGAGATATGACTAAAATACCGGGACTACGCCAGTGGTGGCGAGCTCCTCGGGTTGGCATATGTTTCTTCACCAAATTCATATTATTTCATTCCAAATACTTACCATAAACTCTCTAACGATTATTAGGAACTTACGGGAGATATCGTAGAGAAGGTTCGACGTTGGAATGTTGAAATTGATGAGTTGATCGTCGGAATCGTTGTTTATCGAAATACCGAAATCCTGGCAGCACATATCCATCCACTTCTAAGCTATGTTAGACCTGTTTAAGTTCATTATTTTGATATGGTTTCTTCACGAAAGTTATAGCCTTACATCTTATGAATCTACAAAATCAAACGGTTTGCAATTCCGTGAAGAAACGATGGAGATATGCCCAAAATACAGCAGGCTGTCTAATTGTGACGGGAATGACAAAGTTGGTGAATTTTGACGTTATTGTCACTTCCACTCGTTCGAAAGGTTTCAGCTGATGATTTCCAGGTCTGTACCCTTGCGTTAGACTTGTCAAATCATTCTTCACATGCGTACGTGAACATATATATATTAAACCATATGTTGAAATCATCCCAAAATATATATGTGACACACTTATAAGTCATCCATATGTTGAAATCAAATTACACCAAATCCATAAAGTTGATATATATACATAAGCAAATATAAATATTGGAAAGCAACCCAACAAAATGTATATGTTAATCAAAAGTGTTTAAAATCCTTAAAGAAATATTTTACACACTCAAAATGTCAAGAATAAGTTTCGCAGACCCGAACGGTCGGTGCAAACAGGCGACCGCCGTATTAATATTCAAAGGGGAAATTACCTGTATAACACTAAAACAATGTCCCTTTCTTTTAATAGCACAAGTGTTAGGAAGCCACACGTTTTAATGACGCAGAGCTAAGGAAAAGAATGTAATGACCTTCACTTATTTTTGTAGATCTATACCACTGCGCAGCCGTTTTCCATTCAAGTCGTGGGGATCCCTAAAATCACGACATTTCCTTCGATGGGCTCCTCATTGTAGAAGGTAATTCGCCCTCGAAATTTGGATTGGAATAGGATGCGGCTTTCAATTGCTTGCTTAAACCCTAAACTGGCTAAACGCCCAACGGGAGATTTGAGAAACAGAGACACAAAAATTGGAGGGGTTCCGGCGACGAAGACAGAGAGAATAAATAGAGAGTCACCGATTGTGATGTCAGCGAGGAAGACGACGATGCCTACTGGAGTTGCTATTGACGGACACTCCGACTTTGTTGACGAACAGGGCAGTGAAATTACTGTCAAATGCGTTTCTGGAGAGGTTAGTTTATAAAACCTATGACATTCTTTTTGAAATTATTCGTAGAGGAGATATTTTTGTTAGTTTTTAGGAAGGTTTGTGTTCTTTTGGTGAAAACTAATGTATTATAGTGTTGTAGTGTGCTGCATGTTTTGGAGGGTTTTTTGCTGAATGATAATTACTAGACAGTGTAGAGGATTGTGGGATTCTGAGGGTGTTGTTCTTTGAATGTGCATATTGTTAAAGATTAAGCGTGATTTAGAGGTTTTGGAGGGAATTAAAAACATTTTCAGTAGAAAGTGAGTGTAGTGTTTCCTTGGAGTCAGTATAATGTTTTTTAATGTTTTTTGTTAGTGTTTAGGAAGCTTTGTGTTCTTTTTTGTCGTGTAGTGTCTTGCATGTTTTGGGGTTTTTTTTGAATGATAATTAATAGATAGTGTATAGGATTGTGGGATTATGAGGGTGTTGTTCTTTAATTGTGCATATTTTTAAAGATTAAGTGTGTTTGAGAGGTTTTTACTGAATTGAAAACCTATTCAGTATAATGTGAGAGTAGGGTGAGTATAGTGGGTTTTAATGGTCAGTGTAGTCTGAAATGAGTTTTTATTATTATGGTCAGTATAAGGATAATTTAGTGGTCAGTGTTTAAAAACTGTGCAGTATTGTGGGTTTTGAAGGACAATTTTTTTTAATGTGCATAGTATTGAAGGATAATGATAATTTGGAGGTTTTGAAGAGGTTGAAAACCATTACACTACCAAGTGTGTGTATTGTTTTCTTAGGGTAAGTGCAGTGTCAAATGAGTCTGTTTTTTTATGGTCAGTAGAAATTGCTATATCCATGGTCACTATAAATTGTTATCTCCATGTTGGTTGCAATAACAATTAGGTTTTTAATGACCAAAGTAGACCAGTGCAGTGTGTTGCATATTTTGTTAGTGTTTATTATTTCTAAAGTTTTTAGACACATGGCAGTGATGTGGGGATTAAGAGGGCTGTGTCGGTTGAATGTGCACAGTATTATAGATTTATGATTATTGATATGTTTTGAGGGAATTGAAAATCAATTCAAAAAACTGGCAGTATGATGTACTAACTGCTATAAATGAATAAACTTAGGTGAATGGTGTTTTGTTTGTTCGTAGAAGATAATATCTGTTTTTTAAGTGTTGTTGTGACATGTGAGATGATGCATATTCTTTTTTAGGGATACCGAAGGTTATGTAGAGAAGACATATTGGCTTCCAAGGCAAACGTCAAAGCTAATTGTTATTGCAATGTGTTGAGTGGGGTCGAGAAGCTAAGGCGAACATTGACTGAATCCGAGTTAGAGGCTTTTAGCAGCACTCCATTCGGTCATTTGCTTGATGTTGGTAATCTTAAATGGGTTAATGGACAGCTCCTAATAGTCTTGGCGTTGAACTACGTTGAACCTATGGAGCCAGATAGTGATGCAATATCATTCCACATCCGTGATAGGGTGGTCAGTTTTAAGAAAACCGATTTTGCACTCATTACGGGTTTCAAATTTGGATCTCCATCTGAACAAGAGAGGGAGTACACTGGCACTTCGGACATCAGCAAGAGATATTTTGGGGGTAGAAGTGTTGTGACTCGTGATGAAGTGTGAAAAAACAGAATGTTATCTTTTTTTTCTTTTCTATGTCCTTTTTTTAAATTTGGAATACTTGTAGTTTTTTCAGGTAGTATTGAAAATGTTAGCCCGTTGAGTTTTGGTTATCGAATATTCATTTTGTTAGTAGAAGCGTGGTTATTTTAGAAGAAGCATAGTGAATATTAGAATGGTGGAACAATTACAAGCTGACTTATACTTGTGCAGTGGCTAGGAATGAGGTGTTTTTAAGGGTCGGTGTAGTGGGAAATGATGTTTTTTTAATGGTCAGTATAGTGTTCTGTAATGGTCATTAGAACGCGCTATATCCATGCTGGTTGGTCTATGTGTTTTGTTAATGGTCAGTATATTATGAAATGGGTAGTATGACCAGAGGAGGTCAGTGCAGTGTATTGCATACATTGTCGGTGTTAATTATTTCCAAAGCATTAAAAACATGTTTCGGATAATCTGGGGCAGTAACATATGATAAAGTTGTGGGCAGTGGTTAATGAGAAAGTTATAGCACAGTGTTATATGTGGTTTAAAAAATTAGTACTGATTTGTGTTTACAAACTTCTATTAGAACAATGATTTATTTTTAAAACTATACATAGTAATTCGCACTAGAAAACATTAAAAGGACCGAATGTGTAATGAGGTTTTATTATAAAACAAATTAAGAAGAGGGCAGTACTACTAATAAAAGTTTGTTCCTGTGGTCAAGCAAAATAGAGAATGACACTAAAAATGGCGTCCAAAAGCAGCTAATAAAAAACCGTTTTAAAGTGAAATGCATTTCTTCTGTTAAGGAACCTAAAACTCTGTGGTGCAAGATTGATTTTGCTCACGAACGACATACTGGAAGTGGATTAGTACATGTTTTTTTGTTATGTCCGGACATTGTGCAACGTGAACAAGTCTGCCTCCTCCTCTCTCCGTTAGATGGAATCCTTCTCTTTTTTGGCCTTCCTGGTGGACGTTTAGTGCATGAAGGTGGAAAACATGGGATAGTGGCGACTTCATCAGGGACTATCCATGAGTCTCTAGTAGGAATTGGGTGTATGACCCCATTATACGCAAGTTTCCACTCCACACTTGTGTAGAATGGGGATATGTAGTCATAACATGATAAGCCTGGCCTATTGCGTATCGCGGCAACTGCGTGAACACAAACAAAGTGATCTAGTTGAAACTCCTCACATGTGCAGTTCCTCTCACGGAAATTGACAACATAAGACCTTCCTTTTTTATCAACAACCAAGTACTCATATGAGCATGACGGCCGAACCTAAACAAAAACCGGTAAGAAAATGATGGTACGAGAACAGCGAAATGATGTGATTAAATGAATATGAATGTGAAAGTGTACCGTCATAACCGCAGATGCCACATGTAGAGCAAGGAAATCAGATTCACATTGTTTGGTCAAATATAGTAGATGTTGATTGAGCAAGTTCCCTACGATCGTGAAACCATTTTTGCATTCGTCCAACAATGAAATCAACAAGCTGAGCGATGAGGTATTCCCGGGGGGTCGCGTTAACACTATTCATGGAATAGCGGTTCACATTGAAACATGATCTAGCCCACTTCTCCATACCGATCGCAGTAGGACTTTGTGGGTGCGCGTGCAACAGCAAAATATTTCCATCTCAGTGCTTTCTCAGAACCATTGAATTGTGATTTAATATTCCCCAAAATGTGATGAAGGACAGTGTGTACTCCATTTAAAAGTATGATATTTACAGACCCCATGGAGATTATGGACAGTGTGTACGATAACCTGGTGTGGACAGTGTGCGTGACAGACTGGAATTGAACAAGGTTTGGACAGTAACCTAAAGTAACATACATATGGGCATTATAGTGCAATAACAGGTTATACAGATTATATTGTGGACAGTAAGTGTGATTAAGCTCAATTTTTTATAGCACATTAAAGTATATGGACAGTGTGTCCAAATTCTTTTTTAGACATGTTAATTTTGAGGCAGTGTGCGTATTGGAGTGTTATGTATTGCAGCGTGTATTGCTGCATATACTTAATGATATAATTGTTGAGAAAAAACAGTCAACATACGATTTTCTTAGATGCATGTGTTAACGGAAGAATATGACGTACCTACGGATTTGGAACATATCCGTGCGTGGTAATTGCATTGCCCTAACAGCCCAAGAACAGCACCTGTTTTCCACACAAACGACGTGGAGAAGCTTCTTAGTCGACCTCTTAGGGCCTGTTCTTTTGGACTTGAACTCTTAACTTCCAGTTTTTTCCAGTTCCTTCCAGTTCTTTCCAGTTTCTTCCAGTTTCTTCCAGTTCCTTCCAGTTTCTTCCAGTTCTTCCAGTTTTTTCCAGTTTCTTCCAGTTTTTTCCAGTTTCTTCCAATTTCTTCCAGTTTTTCTTGTTTTTTCCAGTTTCTTCTAATTTCTTCCAACTATATTTATTTTCTTCAAATTCTTTCTACTTTCTGACAAATCACTCTAAAAAAATATATTATTATTATTATTATTATTATTATTATTATTATTATTCTTACAGTTTTTTAATTCACTATTTTTATGATTCATATTCATTATTTTTTTCTTCAACTTTTTAATATGAATAATACCATTTTTTTGTATATTAATCTACAATAAAAAATAGGAAACTATTTAAAAAATTATGGTTAAATAGTTATATACACCCTCCGTCCCTAAATATTCACAACATTTGCTTTTTCAATAGTCGCGGGAATTTTTGTTTATTTCGATGTTTTCATTGATTATTTGATAAAATAAAATATTCTTGACACCTCTTATTTCGAAGAACTTTTCATGTAGTTTTTTAATATGTAAATTTTATTTTTTATTTCTATACCAATATGTAAATAAAATGAATTGAAAAAATTTAATATTTTACCTCGGGAATACAAATGTGCAAATAATTTGGGACGGAGGGAGTAGAATATTTTTTAATCTAAATTTATATAAGGTAAACATCAATATTTTAATCTAAAATATAGTACCTTCAATTAAGTTTAACTAAATTGTAGAATATTAAGTGCTAGTTCATCTCTAATTATTTTTTGAAACTATCTTTTTATGTATGAAAATAATATTCGTAATATTTTTTTTATTTTAAAGACAATCATTTAGATAACGTAATAACACCACCACTACCACTACCACCACTAACAACAACAACAACAACAATTATTATTATTATTATTAACAATAATTTATATCAACAAGAATCAGAATGAGAATAATTTAAAACCACACATAAAAATTTTTTAAAAACTTTTTTTAGATTTTACAATTTATTCTAGTTTTTTCAGTTTCTTTTAATTTTTTCCTGTTTTTCCAGTTTTTTCCACTTCCTTCCAGTTTCTTCCACTTCCTTCCAGTTTCTTCCAGTTCCTTCCAGTTTCTTCCAGTTTCTTCCAGTTCTTCCAGTTCCTTCCAGTGTCTTCCAGTTCCTTCCAGTTTTTTCCAGTTTCTTCCAGTTTCCAGCTCTTTTTTTCCAGTCCTAAAGAACAGGCCCTTAGTATGGAACTGGAACAGGTTAGAGATTGCCAACATTTTGAGATGGTATATCAAGTCGCCCTTGTTCTCATAAATCGCATCCAACTCAATTTTTGTTGGATCAAAGCGAGTTACAACTTGGAAATCAAGGTTGGTGCAAATATCATTTGCAGAAAAGTGAACAGTAGAATTGACGTCGTTATCCAAATTTGGTTCACGTACTACAATGTCCATTGTGTAGCCACCGCTGTCCCTTTGGAAACTTGAAGGACAGTTAATCAAAGGTGAATCCAGTATGTGATTAGTGGACTGATGTGACGATGACACAGAACATTCTACGCTTGCAACGTCATTGCTCTCATCGGACAATGAATTGAAACTTGATGGAGTCATACACAACGATTGGTCATTTGGAAAAGAAGAGCACGTACCTACATCCGTATGGTCATTGTGGAAAAGCTCAATACACATAGGCAATGAATTCAAATCCAAATACTGTGATTTCATGGTGAGGTATGAATGTAAGCTTTTGTCATCATCAATCAAAACCGGATGGGGGGACAAATTGCACTTGTATGAAATCTTTAAAGTAGTATGCTCATTAACTTGGCCAAGTAGCGAACGAACAGCGTCAATAAGCATTCAAAAGGAACTCTCGAAAGAGATGATGAGTTCATGAAAACTTTTAGAAGTGAATGTGCCATCACTCGTCCATTCACCATCCAGGCACAACAATACACGAAACACGGATGGCGCTGGAGGCGCCGGCATGGATAACGAATTCAGCAACGAAGAAAACATGATAATGAGATGGGTAATCGATCCGGCGGGAGAGAATGTGGCGATTGAGGGGCTTGGAAAAAATTGAGATTAAATTCGCCAGTAACCGTAGTGAATGTGGCGATTGAGGGATTGAGGCGCAGGAAGAGTAGGCGCACGATGAGCAGCCGGAAGAAGAATATCGCAGGGAGGAAACAAGTGGGCAATCAGTTTGTTCCTGGAAATTAGGGATAATTAAGGACTTGTTTTCCAAAAATAAATAAAAACTAGAAGGAATGTTTTTTAGTGGGCTAGGTTTACAGAAGGGCATGCTAGGTATTAGGGGTGAAAATTAGTGCTAGTGAGAGAAAAAATTAGTAGTGGTGTTATTTAGGTAAAACAACTATGATTTGGTGCTCCCTTGGGTAAATTTCACATATTCAAAATAGACTACGACCATCAACAACGGTCAATCTCCGGTCAGCACGGTTGACCGTCACAGTCCCAGACCGTCGAGATGAACAGTGTCACGGTTGACCGTCGTGTCAAACGGTGGATCGTTCCGAACACAGTCAGCTACGAAAAGTGTTATTTTTGAGTTCCAAAATCCTATTTTTGATGCCAATTAATTATGAACAATATGAATATAATTTTGTACAATAAAATGATATTTTTAACAAATAAAAATGTTATGTGATCCATGACGGTAAGTTCGGGCGTTAACACTTGAAGCTAGGCCGCTATTTGTTATCAATTGTTATGTTAATTGATGATTATGATGAATGGTTATTATGATGATTATGACTTGATGAAACCATTGATTAAAATGATTATTGAGGATTAAAATATGAATTGAAATGAATATGTTGATGATTATGAAATGATTTGGATTGTAAGGATATTTAGAAGACCTCTAAGGTAGCTTAGGCCTTGCGAGTATAATTATGAATATTCGGTGGCCTGGGTTAAAACGTACGTACGGGATCTACAAACCAAACTTGAGGCACTCGTTTGGGGATACCACCCAACCCGACAGTTAGTTTTCTACTGTTCGGTTTTCTGGACTTGTACCTTAAGCGAAGGCTAGTTTAAGAGTTGGTAAATTAATCGGAAAATATGCACCTTAAACTAAGGACCTAGCTTAAGAGTTGGTTAGAAGTACCTTAAACTATAATAAGTTTAAGAGTTGGTAAATATCA